TAAAGGATCCCCTATAGATCCCTTAAAGGATCCACTATAGATTCGTAGTGTCACGAGGATGCTCCAAAACCTCCTTAACCGGGTGCTTGCATTCCAAAGGTCGCTTTAAGCAGACTCCTAAGATTCGTCACAGCTGCTAAAGCATTGCGTCGCTTGTAGTTAAAAACCCCTATAAGCTGCGATACAGGCGCAGCAAGAACTTTGAAGTGGAGAATATATGTTCAAAACTCAGAAACATTCAGGGGAAAGTCCGATGATGAGCATCTAAGGACTGTAGCAGCGCCCTGAAGCACTCGCCCTTTCCAGCTGAGCGCAGCCACGGATGCGTGCATAGAGGGACAAGGTCTCCCGCACCGTGAGCTTGTCCGGCAGGGCCTTCCGAAAGAGCGACCGAAGAAGCTGAGATGAGCTTCCGCAGCGGAGTTGCAGTTGCTGCCAGAATGCACGGAAAGACATGCTGTAGTAGAGTGAAGTGATGAGTCTTTGCCGAATGTCTTTCGGAGCTTCTTGAGAGTTCCCGGCGGAATCGTCGGCTATGAGCTCTACCTGAAAGCTCGAAAATGCGAAGATGAGCTCTGAGATGCTGGCATCGAACTGCGGACAGTAGCCCAGCCGACGGCGTGCTGCGTCCCGGTTGTCCTCAAGCCAGACAGGCTTTTTTGGGGGTTGTAAGTTAAAGTTGTACCAGGACTCCAAACCGTGGAGGCAATGGTCAGTAGACTCGCATGTTGAAGCCTAGTATGTTGGAGCTTGTGCTTCAGGGCAGTTTCAAGTTTCGCTTCCTGAGAAGCGTAAGCACTTCTTGCGGATAAACTTGCGCGAACTCTTTTTGGAGACACGTATGTTGAAGACTGCAAGAAGACCTTGGAGCCTAGTATGGAGACTGACTAGTCTTGACATGTCAGTTCCAAAAATCTAAGTTCATGACACCGAAGACCACCAAAGGCTCGAATAATGACTTAAGATAGCAAGCACCCTACTTGTACAGACTTTATCACAAGTCTGGGTGTCGCTTTCAACGGACGTCCTGCACGCTGGCTCCTCCGACGAGGATGTCACCGTTGGTCACTTCAGTGTCTCCTGCGAACGTACCCGGCTTGCGGTCTACATGAAGTAAAGGCGGGCCGTGACATTTACGCTTTCAGGACCATGTTGCAAGTTGCAAGTACTTGAATGCATGTGCAACAGGCGCGCAGGGAGCTGTGCCACTTCAAACAGCTCAAACCCAGCCGCCATATCTTCGATTCCTTGCCTCCCTGCAAAGCCGGCGTGCACGGCTGCACACTATACTCTACAACCGCAGCGCACACGCAATAAGAAAAGGATATCATTCAACCCAAACCCGCCCGCAATCCTGTGATCATGCGCATCGTCGTCGTCTTCCCTGCGCCGTTCACGCCAAGCAGCCTCGGGCAGAAGTGCGGGCTGAGGGGTGGGGAGGTAGTAGGGGGCTTTAGGGGCCGGGAGTCAAGGGAAAGTGGGTGACGCTTGCCGGGCGTCTCAGCAAAGGTGGAAAGTAGGAGTTGGGGATGATGAAAGGCACGCTCTTTGTCATCAATCTAGGCTCCACCGCTAAACCCCACCCTGTTCATAGAAAACTCAAGAATGCCCTATTGTAAACACTCATCAAACCTACGACTCAATAGAGACCTAAACATTCGCACAGACAAGTATCATTATCAATTCCGATATACAGCCCATGTATCCCCGAGTCTTCTCCGACCACACGGCGTCGCCAGGGCCCCTGGCCCAAAACACTCGCCGGCGGGCACGCCTCAGGCAATCTTTTGGAGCATATTTTACTTTGGGGTTTATGGATCACGTTAGTGTAGGAGTACAGGGTTGCTTGGAGGTTTCGTACGTTGCTTTCTGGCCTGAGTTCTTGGATTCTGGGGTTTCTTATGGGGGGGTTGAAACTTCGGGGATGTAAACTTTGGCTCTGTAGCGCTTTGTTAGAAGGTCCCGTCGGGATGGCGAAGGGCTTCACGGGACTAATTTTTGATGGTGTCGAGACTTGGAGTCTTCCTTTCAATACGCAGCGAGTTGGCCTCCACGCTGCGTGCGTGCAGAAACAACGGTGTTAGTTACGTTTGCTTCTTTGCCTAGAGCTAATACTATTGGAAACCCAATCTGCATGAAGTCCTGCGAAGCACGCAAGAACACTCCCTTTTTGGGCGAGACCAGCGTCCCCGCTAAACGTTGCGACGCACCACCAGCTTGGAGCAAGAGTTTGGGCAGATTCAATGAACGTCTCGTCGTAAGCTGTTGTACCCGCGCGCCCGTAAGCCCGGAACCTATGTCTTAAACCCTAACCCCTAAGATTCCTTAACGCCCGAACCCTGACAATGTCCGTGCTCAAATCCCCTTGGCCCCGATATGCTTTCAAGTCCTCAGTCCTAACACCGAGAAGGAAAGCATCAGACGTGGCTCACATCTCTTCTGAACTTGATCTGAGCAGCCCGAAGGCCTACCGAGAAACTTCCAACTAAATTCGACTTCTCTTTCTCATGCGCCTTGAGGCTTATCTGAGCTGCCCTGGGCTTACCCAAAGCCTACCGACAAAAATTACAAGTCTTTCTGACGTGTACGGTTTTGAGCTTCGCTGAGGCTATGCAAAGCCTCCTCGTTGAGGCGCTAGAAAAAGGGCGCTCCAGACCGGGAAATTTCTCAAGAGCAGACCCGGCTGCCATGAACGCAATTGCTCGAAGAACTTCCTTCACCGCTACTTTCGAGTCATCTTCGATGTTTGACTCCCACTCCACGACTTAAGCAAAGTGCGGCGCACCCTGCAAGCAGAGCTTGATGTCAGATGAAGGCTGCCCTTCCCTGAGTGGTGCGTCGGCAAACGATCTCTTGCGAAGGTGAGACAACAAGAACATGTGGGCCACCATAAATTGGGCTTAGGGTTCCAGGTTGATGGAATCACACATCAGGCTGAACTCCGGCACTACTATAGGGGCCTGGACAATTAGAGCAGGGTTTTGGGGCCCATTGTATTCATGCTCCTACATTATGCTGAAACGTGTTGTCGAGCCCCTTCGCTTGGGACACTGTGCCCGATGCTTCCCTACGTCTGCAACAAGCTTCAACCAGTCGGCTTGTAAACAGTATTTCAGGGGGTTGAGTACCCTAAGCCAAAAAAGGTTAACCGTTTGAGTTACAGTAGGATTATATCAGCCCAATAAGGGTTTAAGGTTACCTACTCAACCCCTAAGGTACAGTCCACGAATAAAACCCTGCGGTCGTAGAGTCTGGTGAACCCAGGGACGACGCATGAAATCAGATCAGGACCCTCCAGAAATAGAATCTTAGAATCTTAGGGTTTAGGGTTTAATCTTAGGGTTTAGGGTTTAGGGACCATAGGTCTTGGTATAAGTTGTTGCGACCTCCTACCATTCGACATAAACACTTTCCATCCTACTGCCACATCCGCCTTTCAGTGAAAGAGGCACGTGTTGGACTGGGCGGGGCATCGCAAGTCACTCAGCTGCCATTCCTAGTTGCTGACTGACTTCGGCAAAGGCAACAGGCTAACTTGCAAACTCTACTAGAGTTCTATAGGCCTTAAACCCTAAACCTTGAATCCTGAACCCTAAACCTTAAACCCTGAACCCTAAACCCCCAAAAATCCTCAAGGCTAGCCACTCAGCTACCATCTTGAAGGGGCTTGGCAGGATCGGCAACCTTAAAGAAGCTAATCTAGGGGCCTTCATAATTAGAAGCGGGTTTTGGTGTTCCTTTACAGGGGTTCTATAAGGGCTACTATAAGGGTTTAGGGTTTAGGGGCCTTCATAATTAGAATAGGTTTTGGGCTCCTTGCTACTGTAATTCTAATCAGGAACCCTAAGGTATCATATTAGAATAGCGTTTTGGGCTCCTTTATACTGCAATTATAATCAGGAACCCTAAGGTATACTCTTGGTAATTATTTACCCCTTTACCCTAAACCTTCAGGCTGCTATATAAGACCGGGGTGTTCCGGTGCTCTTTGAAAGCGTGACGCCGGGCCTTCTCTTTAAGGGTTAAGGCTTTCGGGTTTGAAGGGTTTAGGGTGTTCAGGTTTAGTTTAGGGTTGATGGGTCGTCATAATTAACCCAGCCGGGGGTTAAAAGATGCAGCCCGCATGACGAAAACCCTTCGGGAACGGACACGGCGGTTTCGTCGTGGCCACAGCCGAAGGAACCCCCAAGGTTCTCTTGGAGGTCTTTGCGCCAACGAGCTCTCGATGTCTCAAATGTACAATCAGCTTAAAGTAAAACTACAGGTGGGGAGTTTAGGGTCTTGTAGGGCTTCCATAGGGCTTCTATAAGGTATATAGACCTTCTATAAGGCTCCTATAAGGGTAGCTACCCACCTGTCAATGTCCTAGAATCAGGTTCCGGCCTGGGGGGCTGGGCCCTGGGCATTGAGGCCTATTACGGGGCAGGGCTCCTCTGCCTCTTGGCATAGCCCGAAACCCTGAAACCCCCAAACCTTGCCACGGGCCGGAACCTGGGAGATGTTTTTTGCCCGGGTGTGTCAGGAAAAACGGGCATTTGCCAGCAAGCCACCCTGGGCTTTATGGTTCAACCCCTTTCGCAATGGCAGGCGATTGTGCTGAATACAAGGCCATGGCACTTGAACGTCGACACACAACCCCGCACTTCCCACCCGGGTGTAAGGAGCTTAGGTTTAGGGTTTGTAAGGCATAGTATGCAAGGGTTTGCGTAAATCTATGCCGGACTGGAAGGCAGATCACTCACACGAGCGAAAACCCATAAGCCTGCTTCAGAGTGCATGGCACCGAAATCAAGTACCCAGATGCGCCCAGAAGAGCGGTGTGACTCGGACCTTTCTTTGTACCAGGGATTTTAAGACACCTCTTCGAAATAGATTGTATACGCCGCTCGTGCGCGCTCGAACGGAGCCCCGCAAAAAAACGATCACGAACACCTTGGCACTACCTAGGCCTTCATTTTTGACCCCTTAACTAAACCCTAAACTCAAAGCCCTGGAAGCCCAAGCCCTATCAGCCCGACGAGACCTATAAACCCAATCAGCTTGGGGTTCGAAAGCCATAGCCCAGAAATGCACCAAAGCTTGATTCCAGTTTGTATGTCCCGAGACAACTGAAGCCCTTTTGAAACTATACCAAAAGCCGTGTAGTGTAAAACCCGCCAAGTCCTTATGAGCGCTGTCAAGCCCCCTATTGCGGTGCACCGAAACCTACCAGAATCTACTTCTGTGCAGGTTTCTATAAACTCCATGATGGTAGGTAGCTTCAGGTCAGGTGAGTCGAGATGATCTGCAATCGCCTGTCGTCTCGGTGGGGCCTTCCCAAAGACTCCAAAACTCCCTTCGTCAAGGACCTCATAGCGGTTTTTCATCGTCAGAGGGAGGTTTGTGATAGAGTTCCGGGCTTTACGAGTTTGTCATACAGTGCCTTAATGATTAGAAGAGGTTTCAGGGTACATACTAGTGTACTGATTTGCTGTCCCGTGCCATGAGCAACCCCTCTTCAAAACCAAACCTTTCTTTCAAACAAGGGCTATGCTGCTTTTCAAAAACGTATTGGCATAGAGCGAACAACAGAAGTCTTGGAGCAATCTGCTTGGTATAGCAGGAGCTTCCTCCTTACAGGTATTCTAGGGACAACAAGGGGGTACCCTTACCAACTGTTGAAGCCTCTGATAACCCGAATAGGAGGTCCTAGATAGAGTCTTGAGTGTATTCTCTGTCTATTGCAGGCGCCCGCATGAGCCCTGCAAAGCACTAGAGTTCAGCATATAGGAACTTGTTTTGTTTATGACCATCATAAGGAACCCTGTAAAGGGCTAGCATTTCAACATTTCAGGCTCCTGCATTGATTCTACATGATTTACAGAGCCGGGGTAGGGAAGATTCCGGAGTTCCATAGGGGCCCGACTTAAAACTCGCACCTCGTCACACAGGTCGAAGGACCAAGAGCGTGTGGGCAGTACGGAGCTACTGCTTCGAATAGGATCATCTCAATAGCTTATTCTATCTCTGCTGGGCTTTGCTGGGTTTCGTGCTGCCGAGGGCCGGACCTTGAAAGGAGTGCTTGCAGTGTACGTTCCGATACATTTTTTTAGGCTGGGGGTTTTCGGACTGTCTCCACACGCCATCTGCCCAGCAATACGCCGAACTGACGTGCCGCAGCTCGCAAAGGCTCTACGCAGAAGCCACGGATGCCAGTCGGCGGAAAACCGTTTGACGGCTCGCCCTGTGCCATTCAATGATTTTCAGGCGGCTCGTCATCATGGTCGTCCTCCTCGTCCTCCCATGGTGCTCAAAACCAACTCGTGGACTGACTTGAACCCTCGCATCCTACAAAGTGCGAAAGGATCTTGATCTTCTGGACGGTTCTGGAATGAAGGTAGGTTCCTCATCGGGGCTCATCGGAGTGG